AATAATATTAGAATTTATTAATGAATTGATCCTATGATTAGATTTATATTGAATTAAATAACTAAAAATAAATATGATAATTTATTTTTGTTCTAGGTTGATATTTATTTAACACGTGTATTTGCCGATCAATTATATTTATTTCAATATCCACTTCGTTCAAATCATCTTCAATTTGAAAATAATCCAACATTTATTGGTGCACGTTTAAAACCTAAAAATAAAGTTGTACAACTTGATTATGTTCATAATACACAATCAAATTTCTATTGTAAAAATAATGAAACAAATATAATTCAAAATTTAATATCATCATCAACAACAACAACAACATCATCATCATCAACAAATGAAAAAATTAATTCAATTGATCGTTTAACATTATCATCAACAAATGCAACATTTGGTGATAATTATAAACGTTTTGCTGTTGGAATTTTAACACCAAATGGTATACAACTTTCACCATTAAATGCAATATTTCAATTACGACCTGATTTTGATTCAACATCATCAATACTTGTTCAACAATCAATAACATCTATTGATGATGATGATAATAATAATAATGAAAATGATTCGAATTTTCATAAACAATCAAATTTACAAACGGATGATACAACAACCGATGAAGAAGTTAATGAACTTGTAACAATGAAATTTTGGAAACCAGAAGGACGTTTACAACGTGAGAAAAAAATTCGTTCATATAATTATTTTGAACGTGCTCGAAATGAAGAACGATGGATTGATTTTGCTTATTATTCATTAAATGAATTAAAATCTATTGAATTAAGAAAAAAATGGAGTATGATTAATAATAATAATAATAATAATAATAATAATATTAACAATAATGAAAAAAATCTTTTACCTATTCGTTGGAGAAAGATTATATCAATACAAGATTATTTTCAATTATTATTTTTTGATAAACAATTTATATCTGAAACTTCAATTGAAAAAGAAAAACCTCAAATTGAACCAACAATTATTACTGAACAAAAACCATTAATTATTCCACCAACAAAAGCAAAAAAAAAGAAAAAATCAGATCTCGATAAAACAACAAAAAAACTTTCGAGAAAAAGTATAGTAAAAAAAATAATAATAATGGAAAAAAAACTTCATACAAAAAACTACAGTCGTACAAATGAGATCGGGATTCAATCCAAGGAAATCTATAGTAGATAGTAAAAAGTACCGACTAATGAAAAAATCGTTCTAGATGATTAATTGTTTTTATATTCAGATTAGAGATATGCTGAGCAAGTCTCGAAACGGACCGCCCGGTCCGATGATTTTATTCTTTTTTGAGATTTGGCTCGTCCCTGAGGGGGGATGGAGGAAAGCTTCTCCACGCTACCCGCCCTGGTCATCACTTTTTATAAAAGCCAAAAAATATGAAATAGCTGTCTATTGAGAAAAAAAATCTTTGTAAACGAAATTTCTTCCAGATCCGGATCGGGTCATAAAAAAGTGGCCCGATTTCGAGGCCTGGTGCCGAGTTGGGACAATTTTTTTCTCGTAGTCTTAACAACTTCTCTATCCCATGGTCCCGGTTCAGCACATCTCTAGCTCGGACTCTGTACATTAGACAGAGCCTAATGAAATATGAAAAGCCTCAAATGGATAAGTCTCCTTAGCTCTTATCTTTAGAGTACTAATGCCCATTTCAAAAAAAAACAAAGATAGGCGAGTATTTTTTTTTTGAATAACTTTTCAAAGGAATGACATAGAGAGCTTCAATTGTCACCATTGGAAAGAGGCGACAAGCACACATCGAATCATATACGAAAAGATTTTTCTGATTACTTTTCTAAGAGTCTTATGTAAAGTTTCTAGAAAATCCACATGCCTAGTGTGGTTACGATATTGATTTATTTAATTTCAGGGTGCACTAGAATCGCCAATCGAAGAACTACAAAGCTACATCCTAGCCATTGAAGTGCAGGTTATCACGCCTTTTTTTTCAAGAAAATAATTGAAAAATATACTTTTATCTTGTATTTTGATGGAAAATTTATTTTTTTTAACATATGAGAAAAAAAAGCAATTCTTTGAGAAAGTCTGACTAAAACTCTTAGAGAAGTAGTCAGAAGAAATTTTGTGTATATGATTCGATGCATCTTCATCGTCTCTTTCCAATGGTGAAAATCACAGCTCTCTATGTCATTTCCTACAAAAGTGATTGAAAAAATACTCACAGGTCTTTTTTTTTCAAATGAGCATTAGTCATTTTCCTAAAATTTTAATCTATGGCACGATGTCTATCAATAAATTGAACCATGATACCTAGGAAAGGGTTGAAAACGTATAAAAATTTCGGAGTTTATAAAGTAGACATTGGGCTAGAATATGGATAAATTGAAAATACAGCTAATCAAGCGAATCACACAGTGATTTTCTTAAAAAATCCCTGGAAAACTTTTTAAGTATTTTAATTCTCAAGTAGACTTATACTTTCACTCATGCTCTTTCTAACGACGAAAGCCTAAGCTCGATAGCTATCAGTGTTGCCGAATTATTCAACAAACAATCAAATCCATTCTTTTTTGAAACGGATAATAGATCTTAGTGAATATGACTCAAAATATTTAACATCTTGATATGATAGAATTAATATTTACTTTCTCATGTTCATATATATTTTACAAATAATTTTCTAATAGCTAAGAAACTCGATCTTTAAACATTTAATTCTTCTCAATATCGATAGATCAAAAAGAAAAATTCTTATGACAATAATTTCGATTGTGTTTTATTTTTTCTATACTTCTTAGGTCGAAGTAAAAATCCAAAATCTACAGATTCAGCCATTGCAACAAATTCTGAACAACAACAAACAACAACAAGTACACCATTATCATCTGTAACATTACCTAAAACAATAATTAAACAAGATCCTGAAACAATACAACATGAATTATTATCGTTTATGAAACGACGTTTTGGTTATCGACCATATTTTAAATTAAGTGAAATTAATATTGGTAAATATGATATGTAATTTGATTTCTTTTTTCTTTGTACGAATATTTTTAGCAATAAAACTTGAATTGATCTCATCTCCACCCGGTCATCCACTTGCATCTGGAGTTACAGAAGCAAGTATACTTCGAGCAGCTGCAGAAATTGGAGCAATTTATGTGAATAAAAAAGTTTGTTTTTGAATTTTTTTTGTTCAATTGAAAATAATTTTAAAGTTTTTTTTTTTTTTTTTTTGTTTAATCTAAAGTGGCCAAAGAATCTCAAACAAGAACCAGTTTTTATCAATGCTCAAATGGGTGATAAATATGATATGGTAAAATTTAGCCAAAAATAGCTTGTTTTTTTTTTGTTTATATTGATAATTATTTTCTTTTTAGCTTCGTCGTTATGTTGCTGAACTTCTTGAAAAATGCGATAGTTTTCAATTTACAGAATTACGTTCACGTATTAAACAAGAAAATCAAACACAGCAATTTCCTGTACATGAAGTGAAAAAATTTGTTAAAGTACGATAAATAATTTACATCGAGTTGAAGATCTTTTCTATTTTCTATGTAAACAATTCAATAGGTCATAATACATCAAAAATTCCAGTCTAAACTAAATTTTGTAATACAGCGCTCGATAGATAAATGTGTCTATGAGATAGAACCCGTCGAGTTGATACCGGATCTCACATTTTTGGATCCAAAATCTGTTCCTAAGACACCATAATCCTTTCTCAGACAATCTTGACGACGTTTTTTAGAATAGTTGAGTCATAATAGGCTGTTACTTCTAGAGTATGGCCAGTTGGTTCAGTCTCGATTGACTCTACTTATTACATCTGTGTAATGAGCTACATGAATTTTTGTGATAAATTCAAAAACTTTTCTTTTCCAAAATGCGAACTTCTAAGTTGATGTAAATCGTCAAAGAATCTATGTTCATAGGAAACTAGTTGTTTTATAAACAATAAATTATACAAACCTCAGTTCACCTTTAGCTGCACTGATACCTAATCTGATAACTTCCATTATCGAAAAAAAAAGCATCATTAAACTATTCATTTGACAATACTTCAATCAAAATCTTATCATTCGAATAAAGTACAATAATATTAATTTCTCTTTTGTTTTAGGATCATTGTATAACTCGTTCTTCACGTAAAGGTGTACTTTATTGTGTCAAAGGCACATTGGTCAAGTAATGCAATCTCTTTTTTTTTCTTCTCTTCTTTTCTTTTCCTTATATAAAATATATATAATCATGACGGTCTTAATTCTAACTGTACAACACGTTCTTAGTGTTTCTGTTATTAATTATTTCATTCTATGTAAATCTGGATATATTTTCTATTGAAAAGAAACAAAATAAATTGATAAATGCAGCGCCGTTGCAGCACCTATCAAAAACAAAAAAGAAAGAATTAATTTCTTCTGTCAGATGATGTTTTATTTATTTTGTTTTTCTGTGCTTCTCAAACTTCATCATTCACCTGAGTAAGCCACATCGCGCACGATTTCTCGCTGATATAAACGCACAGACGCACACAAAAATATGCACGACTAAAATACAACAACAATAAATAGGATTTTCTGTGTTCAAGTTGAAAAAAAAAACAGACAAAAATCTATGCACTCGCGCTAAATATAGCGCTAAGTCTAAAGGACAAAAAAAAAAAGAAGAACGGTATGCAAGAAAAAAAGAAGAAAGAAAAGAACAAATGAACGAAGTAACAAACAACAACGATGAAACAAAGAAAAAAAACTACAAGAATAATCAACCGGCAATATCCGTCATGTGTACATATACATATATACCAGTTTTTGTTATTGCCAGAAAAAAAAAAGACCTTAGACCATACTCTCACTAAAAGATTTACAAAAGAAAGAGCAGATCTATACAAAAAAAAAGCGAAGACAGAAAAGTTCATTGTTAAAAAATGTCTCTTTGTTTTTTTTTTCTTCATATATGAGAAACAATCACTGCAATAGAACAACAAATAAAAAAAGACAAAGAGAAAGAAATCAATTTCGATAATGATATCCATTATTATTTTGTCGATAATAAAAATCATCATTTCTCTGTTGTTGTCGATAATTATTATGATTTGATCGTCTATAATTACCACGATACTTTTGACGTTGATTTCTATCATTACCAAATGTATCTTGATTTCTTACATGATTATACATAGGTGCTGATACATTAGATGCATCTTCAAGAGCAATATTATCAAAAAATGATTTCTTTTTATCATATATTGGTTCATAATCACTCGTTAAATCGGAATTTTGTTTTGAATGAAATAATTGATTTGATGATTCTGATTGTTCTTTAAATTCATCTTCACTTATTAATTTATTAAATTTACGATTATTTGTTTCAAAATCAAAATCATCATCATAAATATTACCATTATCATGAAATGTTTCACGATTATAACCCTCACCTGGACGTCGTTGTTGATTATTCATATGTATACGACGATTATTATGAAAATATCTTTGTTGATTTTGTATATTACCATTTTGATAACGATTCTGTTGTGGTTGTTGAGAATAAGTTCGATCATTTGAAAAAAATGGTTGACGAACAGGTAGTCCACTATTATCATCTTCTTGTTCATTATAATGACTATTTTGACGACGTGATGTTTGAGTTGAATGAGTATTTAATGGCCATTGATGCTGAGAACGATTTGATTGTAATTGATCATTAGTATTTAATGAAAAAGCATCGAAAAATTTGCTTTTATTGCCTGATTGTTGTTGTTGTTGTTGTTGAGAAGAAGATTTATTATTTTCCCATTTTGATGGAGATAACAATGACCATGATGTACCAAGTTCACCAGAATCACTACGACGACGAGATTCTATAATAAAAAACAATATCATAAAATTCAATAGATTAACTAAATGTTAACTTAGGCACATGTATCGAATTCAGCAGTTCGACTCCGAACTGATATGGGAAAAAACAATTTGACACTATAGACGTATCCTTATTTCGTTCTTTCACTTCTCATTGTGACTAGATCGGACGGTAACCAGTACCAATTTCACTTCTGATTAGTAGTGTATTGCAAGAAGTCTTAGAAGTAAAAAAGTTACCCTTTTCGTACCGCATTCGGTGTATATTCTTTTTTAGTTGTGCAGAAGTTCACTAGTAGACAAATGGCATTCGATAGTTAGAGAAGTTTCTTATATGAATTTAGCAATACTCAAGATCTGAATAATATAAATTGACATACGATGTTAAATTAAAGTGATTTTTTATATATAACAGATAGCACAGATTACGCAAAACAATATCATTTTTTACTCTACAAAACTGTTGACTTTGTTTTTTGAAATTTCTTAGCAAAACTTAAAATATGAACACTTATTCGTTCAACTATGATGATCAAAAAAAAAATGGAAAAATGATACCAGTTTCTTTTTAAACAACGATTTTCTGAGATCGGTTTTTAATCGAGACTATATTCATGTAAGAGACAATGATGAGCTGAGCCTTTATTCTTGAGTCTTTTCTGCTAAAACTTTCAGGATATTTTATCCGACCTGTTTATGGGTACAACCCTTTTTAAGATTTTTCTAGTCATACTGGAATCTTCCTCTGAACTCAAATGGTAGATATTAACTCGGGTAGTTTTCACATCAGATAGTTGACCCTTCTTAGGTTTTTATACTGCTCACCTGAATATAGTCTCGATCAGATACTTGGGAATATTCGCTTGTAAATCTCGCTTTGGAAGGTTTGTAGAAATGGAGAATACGAAATTCTCTATCGAATGAGTCAAACAAAGAAAATGATATAGTCTCGTTTAATCTATACCAACCGTTAGTATAAAAATCATATGCATTTATGATGTTATAATTTAATTCCGCAGACAAGAAAAAAGCAATCTTGTCAATTATTATCTAGGGTCCTGGTTATTTTTAGAATAGCAGAAATCTATTAATAAATAAATGATCTAATAATATATGTTTTTTTCTATTAGTTTTTGGTTGAAAAGAACCAGATAAAATTATTTTATTTTATAGAATATTAATTTCTTTTTATAACTATGATATTGATGTAAATTGAAAAGATGTTTTTCTGTCAATTTTCTTTTTACCTTCAGTTTTTGATTGTTCATCAGATAAATTTAACTGATGAAGACTCTGCATTAATCGATTTGACATTGATAAATCCTTATTCGATGTACTAATAACTGCTGATACAATAGCTGGATCATCATGTATTGATGGTTGTTTTTGAAGTGGTGGTGGTGCTCGTACTGGTGGTGATGATAAAATAGGCATAGAATATGATGAATGTTGTTGTTGTTGTGATTGATTTTCAATCATTTTTTCATCCTCAACAATTTTTAAATCTTCAATATCACTATTAGCAAATTGCATTATAGGTACAATTGTACCAGCCATTTGATTATTAGAAAAATTTCCTCCACGATTTTCTGTACCAAAACATTGAACATTTCCAAGAAGTATTGATGATGCTTGAGCATCGATGCCTTTATGAAAGAGAAAAAAAAGGAGGATTTTATTATGTTTTTTTTTTTGTTTTTGATTTCTATAAATAAAAATTTCATTTACCAATAATTGTTCCCACATATCGACATTGAGATTTGGTAATAATCGCGATTTTACTACCGATAAAACTACTCGACATTATAAGTAATAAATATATATAGTTAAAGGTTAATACGAAATAAAGAGAAGAAAAAAACACAAGTTAACAATATGTTTCTTCGACTTGTTTATTATTTTATCGTTGGATCTTTGTTTAATGCTTAACTTTGTATGTCTGACATCTATTGAAAAGATAAATTTTAATTTGAAAAAGAATTTTTCTTTTGTATTTATTAAATATTTAAATAATTTTTCTTATATTTAATTGTTTCTTTATATGATTAATCTTTACATATGATTCGTCATCGATGTAAAGTATGGATTTTGTCTCATAGGAAAAGGAAAAATATGCAGCTATAATTACTGTTTATAACCTTGTTAAACCATTTATTGTTCGAAACATAGGAGTAGATGAATTAGATAAAACACAATAATAATCCTTGTCTTATTTTAGATAATTGTGATATTCATAAAAATAGTTTCAATGGATAAAAACGTTAATAGTGAATTTGTTGATGAATCTTCTCAAATGTTTCCACTTACTATTATTCTATCATTTCTTGTTGTATTTGTAACAATAGTTATTTTATGGTGGGCTAAAAATCGTCATAAATCATTTCGTCGTGGTGAATGTTTACTTTTATGTGGAACATCAAATTCTGGTAAAACATTACTTTTTTGTCGTCTTACTATGGGTTTAGCTAAACGAACATTAACATCAATGGCAATTAATAAAGGTTCAATGATTCTTGAAACTTCATCAACTGATCGTCCAACAAAAAAAATTCATGTTATTGATATACCTGGTAATTTACGTATACGTCAACGTGATTTTAATACGAATAAAAATTCAGCTAAAGCAATTATATTTGTTATTGATAGTACAACAATAAAAGAAGAAAGTAAAGATGTATCGGATTATCTTTATGATATTTTACATGAAAAAACATTTCGTCAACAACGTTTACCATTATTAATACTTTGTAATAAACAAGATATAAATAATGATAATATAACAATTCAAACAATACGTAATTTACTTGAAAATGAATTAACAATGAAACGTAAAACACGTGCATCATCTGTTGATGTACATCAAGGAAAAACAGAATTAATTAATGATATTGGTGAATTAGGAAAGGAAACATTTGAATTTAGTGATGTAAAAGATATTAAAGTTGAATTTGTTGATGGTTCAGCATTAGGTACAGAAAAAAAATCATTTGCTGATCATTATGATGATGATGATGCTAATAATGAAAAGGATATTGATAGTGGTGGTGATGAAACTGATGCAGACAGCGGAGCAAATTTAAATAAAGTCTATGATTGGATTGAGAAGATCTGGATTAAATAAAGAACATTTATCTTCTTCTTATTATTATTTTTATTGTTTTTTTCTTTTTGCTTTAATCTATTCATCGAAACAAAAAAAGGAAATAAAGACGAAACATTCTATTATATTCTAGATGACTAGATTTGCAAAACATAAGAAACAGAAAAAAAAATCTATTGGCGAAGATGCAACACCGTGGGAAAAATTAAAAGAACCTCTAAATGAAAAAGAGCAACGTAAAGAAGAAAAACGTTTAGAAAAAAAACGTAAACGTCAATTAAAAAAGGTTTATATAAAAAAAAAAGATTTGTATCACAAGAAAAACGAAAATTTTTAGATTTGCTTTCGATGTCGAACTCCAGGACATTCAATGAATGAATGTACAACTGAAATATCTAATGAAGAAAAAAAGAAAAGTGAAATAAAAACTGGTATTTGTTATAAATGTGGGTCAACTGAACATCGAGTACAACAATGTACAATGAAAGGTGACTCATTTGTTTATGCAACTTGTTTTATTTGTGGTAAACAAGGTCATTGGTCACGTTTATGTCCTGATAATCCAAATGGTTTATATCCAAATGGTGGATGTTGTAATGAATGTGGTTCTATAAAACATTTTAAAAGAGATTGTCCAACATTATTAAAAAAACAAGGTAACTCAATTTCACATCAAAATTTGGCAGTACGAGTTTTCCAAAAACTTGGGACTTCTAGAAAAAAAATTCTATAACTTACAAGGAAACTATCCGAAATGATTCACCGCTTTTGAGCTCAT